GCCTTATCTTGCTAATCTTGGAAGAGTCTTGATAATCTTGGGTTCTTGGATCCTTATCTTGAATTCTTATTTAACTTATCCCTATCCTAGGAGCTGCCGCCCCTAGGGATGAGATGGGCCTTGTGATGGGCCTCCATCATTCTCCCCCACTTGGAGAGAACTCGACCCCGAGTCGTGATTAGGGTAGGCAAGTGTTATTTCCGGCAGGTATCGGTGAAGGTCAGCAATGTTGAAGGTCCGGGACATTCCCATATGATCTGGTAAATCTACAATATAGGCATTGTCATTAATCTTCTTCACGATCTTATATGGACCATACTTCCGAGGCTTCAACTTGTTGTAATTACCTACGGGAATCCTTTCCTTCGTTAAGAAGACCATGACCTCATCACCTACGTCAAACATTTGAGGTCGGCGGTGCTTGTCTACAGCCATCTTGTACTTGGCGTTGGATTACTCTAGCTTCTGCTTCACGGCCTCTTGGATGGACTGGATTTGTTCTGCCATCTGCTCTACTAAGATACTGGCGCTGGGTACCTTGGGTAGCTTCACTAAATCTAGTGCATGGTTAGGGACCTTCATGTATACGATGGAGAATGGGGATCTGCCTGTAGAACTGTGCACTGCATTGTTATAGTCGAACTCAGCCTGGGCTATGGCGAAGTCCCACTGTTTTGGCCGTTCCCGGCATATGCTGCAAATTAAATTCCCTAAGGTCCGGTTTACCACTTTTGTCTGTCCATCTGTCTGCGGATGGGCTGTACTGCTGAAATTAAGTGATGAATCAAACAACCTCCACAGGGTCATCCAAAAGTGACTGAGGAACCGTGTGTCACGATCTGAAGTGATGGTCTTGGGTACCCCATGCAAGCGGACAATCTCCCTGAAAAATAATTTTGCTGTTGCGGATGCATCTGCTGTTTTCTTGCATGRGAGGAWGTGAGCCATTTTCGAGAATCTATCAACCACCACGAAGACGGAGTCCATGTTCCTCTGGRTCTTTKGCAWGMYTARCACAAAATCCATGGACAAGTCTTCCCATATAGCAGWAGGAACGRGTAGGGGCATGTAGAGACCTGTGTTCTGGGTTTGTCCYTTAATTGYCTGACAAACATAGCAYCTRCTTAYGATGGTAGACACGTCCCTTCTTAATTTTGGCCAGTAWTATCRCCCCYTAACTGCTWTTACTRTTTTGTCCCTTCCCAAGTGTCCTGSTAATCCACCCCCATKYAAATCYCWGATGATCTTTTCGYGGAKGGARGTGCAAGGGATACACAGTTGTTCCCCTTTCATAAGGAACCCATCATAAATAAAGAAGTCTTTTGCTGGCTGCTTATTCACACATTTCTCCCATACCGGTTGGAAGTCTTCATCTTGGGCATATAAGTCTTTTAGGCACTCAAAACCCACAATCTCAACACTGAGGGTCTTGATGAGAGCTACGCGCCTACTAAGTGCATCAGCCACCTTATTTTGCTGTCCTGTCTTATACACAATTTTATATGGGAACATGTCTAGGAAAGCCGATCATCTGGCATGTAAATCACTTCTTAATTGCTTTTGCCCACTAAGATATTTTAGGGCTTGATGGTTAGTGCAGAGAACAAATTCTTTTGCAATTAAATAGTGTTTCCATGTTTTTAGGGCTCTAACCAAAGCATAAAACTCCTTGTCATAAGTAGACCACTTTCTCCTAGCTTCACATAATTTTTCACCGAAGAAAGCAATGAGTCTTTTCTCTTGGGACAATACAGCCCCTATGCCAACTCCACTGGCGTCACATTCAACTTCAAATAATTTATTAAAATCTGG